AATCTGGCAGACAATTCTTCTTTTCCCAAACAAGGTACCTATGGTATACATAACAACCATGTTTCAGTTTCTTCTGCCATTAAACTTCATCCCCATATCTGGCTTCTAGATTCAGGTGCAACAGATCACATTACCAGTGATATATCTCTATTCACACACTATACACTTTGTTCACCACTTTCTATTCACCTAACAAATGGGGGTCACACTGTTTGCTACACATATAGGATCAATTCAGTTGAATACTGATATCACTCTTAAAAAGGTTATACGTGTTCCTTCAAAAACTGGTTGTCATATACAGGAATCCAATAACTTTCAGCTCATTTTTTGTGGCAATCTTATATTTGTGGCAAAGTTAGTTTCTGACAACAACTTTCAGCTCATTTTTTTAAAAACTGGTTGTCATATACAGGAATCCAACACCTTGAAAGTGATTGGGACAATTGAACGTGTTCAAGGTTTATATTACATAGTCAGGAAGCATCTTAATAACCTTTTTGCTGTTGTAAATAATGCTTCCACATCTACCAACACATTTGTAACACCTCACCTTTGGCACAATCGATCAAGACACCCTTCCCTTGATAGAATGAATTTGTTTCATGATGTGTACAATGATATTTCTAATGCAAAGTTTACTGAGGTGTGTGAAGCTTTTCATTTTGGCAAACAACATAAACTGTCTTTTCCCATAAACCCTCATAAATCTCAAAAAACATTTGATCTAGTTCACCTTGACATCTGGGGTCCCATGAAAACCCCTTCTTTGAATGGTTCATACTATTTTCTTACTGTTGTTGATGATTACAGTAGATATACCTGGGTTTTCCTCATGCAAATCAAATCAGAAACAAGAACTTATATTAGACACTTCCTACCTTATGTTTCAACACAGTTTGATACCAAAATCAAAGCCTTTAGAACCGATCAAGGTAAAGAATTTCAAATGAATACAGAATTTGCTGAAATGGGAATCATTCATCAACAAAGTTGTATATATACTCCCCAACAAAATTATGTTGTTGAATGAAAGCATAGACACCTACTTAATGTAGCTTGTTCACTACGCTTTCAAGCACATTTACGTTTACAATTTTGGGGTGAATGTGTCAGCACATCAGCCTATCTTATCAATCGTACTCATACACCAAATCTTGACAATCATTCCCCTTTTCAACTTCTTCATTCCAAATTGCCTTCTTATCATCATCTCAAAGTTTTTGGTTGTCTGTGTTACTCTTCTACTCTATCTCTTCACAGATCAAAATTTGATCCTAGAACAAACAAATGCATCTTTCTTGGTTATCCTGCAAACATTAAGGGCTACATTGTATATAATATTTCCAAGAAAACCAAAGAAATCTCAAGAGATGTTTATTTCTTTGAGGATCAGTTTCCATTTGCATTAACATCTTCTGATCCTCTACCAGATACACAAATCTTTCCTAAAATTCTACCCACAGTAATTAATCTTCCATCTTCTCAATCTTCCAGTCAATCATCTTCTACATCCAATTCATCCATGCCATCTAATCACAATGCTGACACTCTTCCCACTCCTTCTTCTCAACATTTCAGCCAATCATCTTCTACATCCACTTCATTTATGCCATCTAATCCCAATACTCACACTCCTCCCACTTCACCTGAACAAAAATTTACTTGTCCACCTGAATTTCCACCTCATTTACCATCCATACACAGAACTACCAGAAATCATCATCCACCAAATTATCTCAAAGACTATCAACGTAACCCTGCACATCAATCAGCAGTCCCCTTCACAAGCAAAGGTAACAAATCTGTCACTTTTCCATTATTTAATTCACTCTCATTCCATAGACTTTATGGGTCATACTTGAAATTTGTTCTAGTTGTTGCACAAGAGTTTGAACGTCATTCTTATGAGGAGACTTCATTAATACCTCACTGGCAAGAAGCAATGAGAATTGAGGTTACTGCTCTTGAGGGTAATAAAACATGGACTGTGCAACCTTTACCTCCGGGAAAGAGAGCAATAGGATGTAAATGGGTTTACAAGATCAAATATAGGTCTAGTGGATCTATTGAGAGGTATAAGGCCAGATTGGTGGCTAAAGGATACACTCAAAAATCTGATCTTGATTATTCTGAAACATTCTCAGTAGCTAAGATCACTACAGTTCGTTGTCTTCTCAGTATTGTTGTAGCTCAGTCTTGGAATATCTTCCAACTTGATGTCAACAATGCTTTCTTATATGGGGAATTAAATGAGGAGGTCTACATGCAACTTCCTAAAGGTTTCTCTAGACAGGGGGAGAATGTGGTATGTAAGCTAGAGATCAGAAATCCTTATATGGGTTAAAACAGGCATCCAGACAATGGAATCACAAATTTTGTACTACCATTACTCAATATGGATGTGTACACTCAAAGAATGATCATTCTTTATTTGTAAAGCAAGTGGGAAATTCTGTTACACTACTATTGGTGTATGTAGATGATATCATCATCACTGGGAATGATGATAATATGGTTGATGATCTGAAGAGATATCTAAAGCAACATTTTAAGCTGAAAGATCTGGGACAATTGAGATTCTTCTTGGGAATAGAAGTGGCAAGAAATGACAAGGAAATATGCTCACTTTGCTCTGTTGATAGTACTGGCACCTTGATCTGGGATGAAGAATTAACTGCTCAGTTCACTTTTAAATCAGCATATGAAGAAGCTAGACCTAAACAGAATAGTACATTCACTTACAAGCATGTTTGGCATCCTCAACAAGAGCTTAAGGTGAAACTGATTCAGTGGAAGATTAATAAAGGCCTGATTCCAACATCTGATAAGCTAAGGAGGTTTAATATGGTTGTGGATCCTTCTATATGTGTGTTGTGCAAAAAACATTCTGATAGTCTGGAACATCTCTTCTATCAATGTGATACTGTTAAACCGCTTTGGCACTATTTTATGAAGATTTTTGGAATTCCCATACCCCAGAGTGATAATATTTGCCAAACTTTTAAAAATTGGTGGTTGCAAGCTGGTGAGAAAAGTGTGATGGATATCTTCAAGCATACTATGCCTGGTATTATATGTTGGCACGTGTGGAAAACCTATGCAAATCTGGTTTGGGGAAAGCATTCTAACAGTAGTGAGATTTCAGCACACAATCTCATTTCTCAAACTAAAGCTTATACTCGCATTTGGGCTTGGTCTTTTCCCAAACTTAAGAATAATACCGTTAGTAATATCTTGAGGGAAGAAGAGATTGTCACATCTAATTTCAAAGCAAAGGGAAATAATATTCAAATTATTCGTTGGAGAAAACCGAATGGAAAGCTGAAACTGAACATGGATGCTAGATACTCACCTGATGGTGCTTCAGGAGGCGGTATTCTTTGCAACTCTGAGGGGGAGATGCTTTGGGCCATCAGCTTTCCGCTTTCAGTGTCGTCGCTGGAAGCTGAATTCAAGGCTTTGGTAGAGGTTGTGCGATGTGTCGTTGATGATGGTTTTTCCGGTTTTCAGTTGGAATCAGATTCGACCATGGCCTTGGCTATACTGAATGAATACGATGTTAGATGTTGCTTAGATCTACTTCAGGAAACCAGGCTTATCGCGAAGAGGAAAGGTCTAAACTTCGGACATGTTATGCGTGAAGGAAACTGGGTGGCCCATTTTCTGGCGGTTGATCACTTGGGCCTTACAAAATGTTATGCTATCCCATCAACACTTCCTATTCGGGCTAGGAGGGCTTTTTATATGGATATTTTTGACATCCCTTCTATTAGGTACTAATTTTTTCTTGTTTTTTGCATTTTCAATTGGGTCAGGTCGAGCCCCCCCATTGATGTTATTTTTTCTTTTGATGCACCTTTTGTATTTTGGAGGAATGTCTCCTGGAAAGGTTTTGGTCTAATCCCCCTTTCCGATGTACTTATTTTTAATTTCTAATAAAATCCAGTAGATGTTCCCCGGCATCTACCCCACTGATTTTGGTGGATTGCCTTCCGGGTTAAAAAAAAGACAAAAAAATATGCATAAATCAAAGACAATATGCTCTTGACATCATTAATGAGTGTGGTTTATTGGATGCAAAACCATCTTTATTTCCCATTGATCAAAATGTCAGCTTCATGCAAGATTCTGGGACAATATTGGAAGATTCAAGTGAATACAGAAGAATCATTGGAAAATTGTTGTACTTAATTGTAACTCGTTCTGATAATCTGATATATCATAAGCAGTGAACACTCTCAGTCAATTCGTTGCCAAACCAACATATATACATTTAGGAGCAACAATGAGAGTTGTACGAGAATGAATTTCCATGTTTTCCATTAAAGAACGAAGCACATTGAAATAGATTGCCATGTTGTAAGAAAACAATATGCAAAGGACTTTTCAAAATGATTCATGTGAGATCATATTTGCAATTAGCAGATTTATTTACAAAAGGTCTTTCAACCAAGAGAATGAATTTCTTATTAAACAAGATGTGTATGCAGAATATATATGCACATCTTGAAGGGGAGTATCGGAGAAAGAAAGTCAATGAGAATCAAGAAAGAAAAGAAGCTGAGTCATTGTACAAAGGATAAAAGATAGATACACAGTTTTGTACTTTTGTATAGCATATTGAAACAAACTTTGTTCTAGTCGCTTCTTTTGTTAGTTAGTTAGAATGTATAGATCAGTATAAATACATTCAGTACGATTCATCTTGTAAGTTAATGCAATACAACAGTTCATCATCCTCCATATATTTTCACTATTATAATTCTGAAACTAACTACTATTCGTATATTATACATCCTCCGTAGTACTGGTATATATATAGTAGGTTCAAGTGTCTGACCTGCCCCAAACTATAAGGAATGGCAATCCGCTCCTTACTAATATTTCAGCAAGATTAAAAGTAAAGTTGTATACTTGTACCAGAATCGGCTGGTTCAAGCGCGCTTTTGATAACGGAACCGCACTAGAAAATACCAGATTACGTACTGAAACTGCTAGATAAAAGGGGAAAGATTCCACTAAACACCACGTTTCTATTTGAAAGATGTCCAGGCACTTATATCCACACCAATAGTTGAGAACCACAAAAGAAAAAAGAAAAACATGTAGCCAATTTGAGTTTCTTGCTTATGTATGTCTCGAGAAGAAGAAACAAATAACAGTCAATCAAGTTCACAAATGAAACCTAAAGGTCCTTCCCTCAGCTGGATAGAAGCCACATCCAAATTTTACAATTCAGCTTCTCTTTTAAATGCCTGTCAGGTGGCATCATTTACTCTGAGAGGATATCAAACTCATGGGGCATAAAATCTTCACTGGTTCTATAGTATTTATCCGGAGAATAGAGGCTCAAATTTGTGACCTGGCTGGTATACAAACACGCAAACCTCTCAACCTGAAAGCAAAGCATAACAAGTATTTTACGAACAACCCCATATATTCAAAAGCTATCTTTCACCAACAATAATTCATCGGAATATTCTGACCTGATGGGCAAAGCGAGAGTTCTGATAGCCAGCCTTCATTAGTTGTCCCCAGATATGATGGAACTGAAACAATATGTAAAAGCTATTGATAAGCTAAGTTGATTGATTGAATTATTTATTTATGAGAAATTGTGCTTATGACTACCTCCTGATGATATTCACGTTGTTCCTCTTGATGAGCATGCCTAACTTCATCTCTCTCAGACTACAAAGTAGATTGAATAAATAAATCTAAGTGAGTTTTGAGGAATAACCATCACAAAGGCCAATTATCTTTAGCAAGAAAAAAGATTTCAAACTAGTTCTTGACCAAGTACCTTTTGTCTTATTAGCCATCTGTGAAAAGTGGATTAATTTTATCTGAATCATCAAAGATGAATAGTACATAGGAAGACTTAGATATACTGACCTCCAGTTGACGAAGCTCTTCAGTACGCTGCTCACCTTGAGACCTGAACATGTAAATCTTATTATGTTTATTAACGAGTCGGAGAAGAGACTAAGGTTGAAATAGAGGAAGTGATAGAAGATAAAAAATATGAATGAGACTAAACAAATACAAGAAATTATGTTTAGCATCAAATTGATTAAAGCAAAAGATTCATTATTTTTTGGCTTGAGATTATGATGGAATAAAGCAAAATGGCTCACTAAACTGTCTGCGCTTCTTTGTTATGAAGCAGCAGTCAGTCCATGCAATTTTGGACGGGATTTTCACTATGGGTCATCCGGAAACAGTCTCTCTGTGCTTTAGTACAGGGGTAAGGCTGCGTACATCTGACCCCCCCTTACCCCACCGTAGGTGGGAGCCTTTGCGGCACTGGGGTAAATGAAAATGATGAAAATGATCAAATTGATTAAAGAAACTTTTCATAAGCATAGATCATTGATAAAATGGAAATTACTTGAGAGACCACTCGAGATGGTGTATTTTATCTTCAATGCGATCACGCTCGCTCCTCAGAGACAAAAGTTTCTGCATTGACAAAGTAATCATTCAGAATTACAAATTAGGTAAAATAGGGATCATTAGTAGACCTTAAAGAACAATTTCCATAGATGCAGTAATATTTGCTTCTATAAAAGTAATAATGGCAGTTCTCATTATTAGCATTTAATAGAGGAAATTGCTCATTGTATTTGTTTCTGCTTGAGTAAATCTCCCTATTTAAGACGCCCAATTGATAGATAAAACAATTTATACATATCCATAAATGGGACACGGAAGCCAACCATAGATGTCGCCAGAGATTGATTTCCCATTGTCTTAGATTTATTGAATTATCTAATCTTAAACTTGTTAATATACCTTCCTTCTATCCGTATGTTTCCAAAGAAGTTCAATCTCCCTTTCAAGCTCTGGAACAACTAGCATGGTTCTCCAACCTACCAGATCAAACAGAAAAATCTCAAACTGGATTCAAGACCCCGTTACATGATATACTAATGGATGCTAATTGAGAGAGAAACATATCGTGATGGAAAGCATACCTAAAACTTTTTTACTGCGCAAAATATCACCATAAATGTGATCCCCAACATAAAGAACCTATAGTGACAGAGCAAGCCAAATGTAATACATAACTGAAAGAACAAGTAATTGAATCGAAAAAACAAATTTGAGAATGGAAATGGCAACCAAAGAATTCCATTAGTTAATAAAAAGGATGATGTGCCCTTATTGTTACTTCTTGATCACATGTAAGTTCAAATTATATGTGCAAATAGTAAATTAGCACAAAAATCTCCATGCAAATGTACAGATCATCGCAGCCATTTTCCTTACAAGTGGGAAGACCCTACAACTTGTTTGGAATTTCATCTCACAATTCCGTCACAAAAATACAATGACATGAAAAACTCCCAGTATAAATCTATGCCATTATTCTATTTATATATCTTTCAATTACTTTTATGCAATTCAAGCCACTACTTGCAAAATTGATGGGATTAAGTTGATGATGAGATGTTTACCTGTGAACTAGACTCAACGTTGAGTAATTTGTGCAAATGACCAACATTTCCTCCCTGTGAAGTGCACAGAAAAATAACAACCATACTTGGCGATACTTGTAGAAGGGTCTCATATATTTTTAATTTTGAGAAGGCACAAAACCACAATCATGCTACAAAACTTTTACCTGATAAATTTTATTTTTTCCCGTGGAGCTCTTTGTTGGCACTCTTATCGGACTCCCATCCACCTAATTGATCAATGTGAAAGCAAAGTAAAAACTTGAAATTAACAAAAGACACCAGATGCAGAAAAATAAATTCAACTGACCAGAGCCATAGGTGTGCCATTATCAGTATTCATCAGCATCCCAGATTTAGGTTCCACCTCATAAATGCTAGCACGTCTTTCATCATGGAAAAAACCTGGTTTCGCGCTGTAGATGCGAAAAAAAGGGAACTTCATTGTGACCTACCCCCATGAGATTCATGCATATCAAGAGTGCAAATGTTTTTTTTTGGAAAAAGTGTGCTTTCACCCACTTGGAAATGAAGCATACAGTATTCAATTATGAAGTAAAGAAAGTTGACCTGCCAGTGATGACAACATCAAAGTGATCAAGCCATTCAGATGTCTCAGCAGCACAAGCATCTGATGCTTTGGGTCCACAGAGAAAGTTCATCACAGCATTTGTATAGTCCCACAGACTGCATAGGTTTAATTACATCAATAAGAATAAACTTAGAAAATATGTAAACTTTCAATAACATTTAGTTCAAGGTTTCAATTAAACATCGGTGTAGAGAAGCCTGAACTCTACAAGACAACAAAGAACTTTAATGTCCAGATTCTTTCAGCTTTTCTAGCAGAAAGGAAACATTACCTGTTAGTCACCAAAAAAACAGCACGCCCAGATTTTCTCAGCATTTCTAGCATAGGAACAATTTTAATGTCCTCTATGATATATCTGGTGGTCAATGAGAAAGCGCATCAGATATTATCTCTCTCTCTCTCTCTTATATATATATATATATATATATATATCAACTAAAAACATGGCATTGAATACTAAGGAATTAGTTGATTGTAATATTACGTTTAATATGTGTGTGTAATATACATATGACCATTCATATAAGGTGCACCTGACGGGATTCCCATCAGGCACGCTTCATTGCCTTTGGTTCCCACAATCCCACCACAACACTGAACACCTTTTCAAATTGATATACTCCGTATAAGCTAACTGTAAGGAATAAGGAAGTAATGACTACTACAAAAAGGTGATTATATAACTTAAACATAGATAATTTAGTAATTTACAAATTAAAGGAATATAGCTACCTAGTAATTGGGTTGTGGTCGAGGGTGACTTACTATTCATTCAAATAGAATTTCTTCAAATGCACAGGAGAAATTCTATAAATGGCTTGGGATGGTTAGTTTTTTTGTTAAAAAACAATTTTGGCAATCAAATCGGAGATGGTGCAAATCTTGAAATTTATGAAAATTTATTAATTTAGAAATAAAAACTTTCAAAATGGAGTATCTTGAAAAAAAGTGCTAATGCAATTATCTTGTTCCTTAGTGGAATATTGCTATAATCATCAGGAACCACAACTGATCAATAAACCCTTCATGTCACATTTTCAATGAAATATAGATCTACGTAGCTTTATTTGTTCGATCAAAACTGACAAACATTTTCCAAACTTGTTGAAGTGTAAAAACACCTAAGATATATCATAAATGTGACAATCAAACATTCCTAAAACACATAATCTCGCATGAAGAAACACGCTATTCATAATCAGTTAGTGCTGCCATAAGCTTGTAGTCAATAAACATGTATTAATGTAAAACATTATAATGTAGTACAACTCAAAAGAGGGTTGTGTTTGACAGAATTACAGAGAAAAACTACCCCCGGCTAGAAGTCAACCATCCCGCACATCAATTTATTGCAACATCAATTTCACTTGTAAGTTCTCCGGTTTCCACTTGCCCTAAGCAAGCACATATATTCTCACTATACCACAGGAAGTTTCATTTTCATAGTCACAGCTCCTGCTCAATATTGTTTTTCATTTGCAGAAAATGAATCATACCTCTTAGGATCTTGTGCTACTGTCTGTTTCAAGGTCCCATCACGGTGGCACATATCTACTGCCGCACGAACATCCTTGTATATCCGAGAATAGCTGAAAGCATGAATTAGCAAGTGAGGATACACAACGAAAAAGAGTATGTGGTGGAAAGTGAAAACAGACCCACATAACAGAGACCATATGTGTACACATGATAGAATCCTCCAGAATTCCCAGCAAATATCAAAGAGAAAGTAAGGAAATAGTATCAAGAACTCCAGAATCTTTATTAACGGTAAAACAATATACTGGCCGAAGCCCCCAAAAGCCGAAGCTCCCAAAGAAAGAGATTATTAGTCTCAGTCTTCCCAAGTCCCAATACAAAGAGTCCAAAAGCCTCCTCACCCATTCCAGCTAGCTACTATTTATAGAAAGTAAGTAACTAATACAACCGAAGACAGTTATTAGCTAACAATGCCTTTAACTAATAACTAACTCTACTTTCTTCTAGAATATACTTTGCCAAAATATCTATCTTCTATTTCCGAATTAGTAGAGTCTCTAACATTACTCCCCCCTAAACATCCACCTTGCCCTCAAGGTGGGTGATAGGAAACAGCCACAATCTTCTGCTTCTTCTTCTTCCTCCTTGCTCCTCTTCCTTCCCAATACATGACTGTAGGTTGGTCAAGGAGTTTCCATTCTTGAATCTTCATCCTCACTTCTAGTAAAAACAGCACTAGATCCTCTCCCTTCAAAGCATCCATACTATTCAGGTTGTTCTGTTCCTGCTGGTACTGATCTTTATTCATCACCTGCTGCTCAATATTCCATCTGCTAGTAGCTCTTGCTTCAGAGTATAATGCAAGTCCTCGGTTTTCAGTTGCTTCACTCCTTGGGATTTTAGCTTCTGATATGTATACCCTGTAACATGTCATGAGTGACATTTTTTCCAGAATTGAAACTCTTGACATACCTTGATCATTGCCCACCATCACATAGCAATATCTATCATCATGGTCTGTATTCTTACTCCTCCAACCACCTGGGTAATAAGAAATAACCTCTCCTTTCCGACAATAGGACCATGAACTCCAACCATAATACAGAGTCCTTGGGTTCTGTTTCAAGACATCATAGGTAAAATTATCCACCAAGTCATCCTTAGAAAGTATTGTCCACACAAGTGGTTCCGGTTGGATGACCAACGAGTAGCAACTCGTGTTTTCAGCGCCAGATTCCCATACCCAAGTGGTTGACTGAACTTCAAAAAGAATCTCTCTTCCAATAGTCAACATATTGAAAGAACCAGGAACATTCAATTTCTGTTGTTGATGCTGGAAGATGGAAGAGTCAAGATAAGAGCCGACAAAGTCCTGGTAAATGCCATTCACGAGTACAATGGACATAGAAGATGGGCTTCTAGCCACAGAATAAGAATTTGCCACAGCAGAATCATCAAACCGATAGTCTAAGCCTACACCTCCTATAATGGCCTCAGGGAAACGACCAGGATTGAGATCTTTAACAAACATCAGATACATGACAACTCCAATACCAGAAACATATCCCTCATTATCTGTAATATTCCCAGAAAATTCTCCTTCCCACCCATTTTGATTATCTATCATCGAAGTAACACCCTCACATCCGAATCTATCAAACTTGTTCAATGACTTCAACCCTTCCAAAGCAATGTGTAATATATCACAGTCCATCATTACAGATTTTAAAACATTAAGCCAGTTCCTCTCCTGTACAAACCCAAAAGTCAATGCAGATTTGACCACACAAACATCACTATCACATACCTGCAGAATGTCAGCTTCGCTATTTTCTGGAACTGTTGGTGCCACTTGCTTCAATTCATTATGAATTTCCGAAATTATAGTCCCTGTTAATCCTTTTCCTGATGTGACTATGGTTATAGATTCTGAAACAGATGATTCATGTGGGCAGGTTGACACTCGCACACTAGGATTTATGGCTTGCAATGTCATCTGCGAATCACGAGACCAGTCTGGCGCAAGGCAAGAATCTACTTGCGATAACGATAGAAGATGCTCAGTTAGCAAGGGCGAACTGAGAGAAACAGTTCGTGACTGCGAACAAGGGAATTCTTGTGACTGATATGGAGCTTTGCTTTTTGAATTCACGCAGCGACGTACCTTCCTCGATCTTCCTTGCCGGTGATGTTGTTTGCTATTCTCACGCTTCTCCTTATCCCGACTGTAGCGTTTCTCTTTCTCAGGTTTAGAACTCTTCTCTTTCTCCAGGCTTGAGCGTTTCTCTTTCTCCGGTTTAGAACTCTTCTCCTTCTCCAGATTTGAGCGTTTCTCCTTCTCCAGTTTTGGGCGTTTTTCTCTCTCCGATTTTAAGCTCTTCTCCTTCTCCATATTTCTGCGCTCCATCGTTTCCGCGAGTTTCCCCAATTTTCCACGCGGATCCTTTAGCGAGTGCGAAACAATTCGCGACTCTTTCTGCAACTCCTGCGAGTGCGAATTAGTTCGCGACTCTTGCTGCGAGTGCCGATTGTTTCTTTGCGGGCTTATTTTGCGTATCCTTTCGCACAAACGCCTGGTATCTTCGCGCATTTTTTCCCAAAACAGCCCCCAATCTTCCATCGTTCCTGTACAGGACTACAGGTAACAAGATCGTTTTCTCTGATACCAATGATAGAATCCTCCAGAATTCCCAGCAAATATCAAAGAGAAAGTAAGGAAATAGTATCAAGAAAGAGATTATTAGTCTCAGTCTTCCCAAGTCCCAATACAAAGAGTCCAAAAGCCTCCTCACCCATTCCAGCTAGCTACTATTTATAGAAAGTAAGTAACTAATACAACCGAAGACAGTTATTAGCTAACAATGCCTTTAACTAATAACTAACTTTACTTTCTTCTAGAATATACTTTGCCAAAAATCTATCTTCTATTTCCGAATTAGTAGAGTCTCTAACAACACATTGAAACTCTTAGTTATAAATAAACTCACCAAACAATAGAGTTATATGAATTGATGAAAAGATTGGGGAAAAAATTGCAGGGGTAATTCAAATATACCAATTTGGTTGCTTCTCACAATTAATGATAAGAGTTCCTAGATAATGATTCAATGTGAGCTCTCAGTTAGGAAGTGCAAACAATCTGCCAATTAATGATTTTCAAAGTGTTTTTTATTAGATTGAGTTAACAATTAACATTAAAGTTAATTGCAACAAAAGTCCCAATCAAATTATATTAAGTTTTACTTTCTGTTTGATTAAGCCTCCGAAGCAATATATGGATCATTAAAGCAAATCTTTCCCAATTGGTCCTCGTGGATTATCCTTCTTTTCCTCTAAGCTACTCCAAATCAAAAGTAAGTCTTAACGAGCCCATGTAAATTCAAGTGCCTGACTTTATTTCCGCATTTGGTAGTGTGGGTAAATTCAAGTGTGCCCACACAAGCTCCATAGAATGTTGCACCAATGGTTGATAATGATATTTCAATTTTAAATTTTGGTTAAATTATTCCAGAAACTTTTTTATCGCAACTAAACTAATGCTTAGTTAAACATCCTTCAATCAAGGTCCAGTGACTAAACGAGGTAGATGAGACTTTACTGCCAAATAATAGCTTTCACCCCCTGCCCCCTTCAGTTAATAAATAGATCTTCACCACGAAGATAAGAAATAAAGAATAAATATGAAAAACATGTCAATTCATAAAACAACATGAAAAAGAAGTTCAACGAAAGGGGATGCATGTCACATCAGCATATACTGCTTATACATAACTTCACCTAACACATAAAATACAAAAGGGCACAACTGCTTCACATGTTTATGAAACATTTTTTTGTTAATACAGTGTACTACACATAGCTGCATAAAAACTAGCAATTGTCATGTGAATAGATGATTGCACAGCAATGGACAGTTTATCCGAAGATAGCCATGTTATAAAATCACCAGCTACTGATGTTAATTATCAATGTTATTTTCTTATCACTATATATATTACTCTATATTTCCCAAAAAATGCGTAATCATTCTACTACCCTGGTTGACCATATGACTTAAGGGGGTCGTGACAAAAGAAACAGTTACTAATTGACATACCTATGCACTACTAAGATGTCTCCTCTCCCCTCTTCCCAGTCTATCACTTTAAACAGTCTTACAGTGTGAAAAGAATTGAACTGGGTTCTAGACATCATTTAGAAATTCCAGTGTGAGTTTCTCACTATTATGGAAAACCATCTGGAGCTTCCAAAAGGAAACTTCCAGATCTAAAGAGACAAATATCACCATTTTCCCTAAGTTAAGGGTTAGGAGGGGATACAGAGGAAGGAAAAATCAATCCTAAATGATCTGTTTTATGATTAAATAATAAAATATTGTCCAGTGGAGGCACTTCAATATTTTAACACAGTACAGGCTGGTGAAGAAACCCACTGTACGAACATAAGAGCATATATGTTCTACACAATGAGCAATATAAAATGAAAAACAGTTTGCTGCTGCTTTTTAACATAGCAATTACTATCTTACTCGCGGTCTTCAGGAATTTTTCCAGGGTTTTTGTCCTTGAAGTCCACTAGTTGAGAAAATAAGTATGCTTCAGCCAGGGAGAAGAGAGTATCAATAAGTGCATAATCAGGTTCATCAAATGGATCTTGAAGCAAAGTATTGCCATAAGTTGCAACTTTTTCCTTTTTTGACATTTCCCGAGATCCATGGTAAGCAACTTTGACATATTTGTGCCTGTCCATCTGTTATAGGAGAAGATATGCAGGAATAGAAATTCAGATCAAATTATATCTCAGAAACCTAATCATCACAACATAACTGATTAATACATACTTTCAATATATTCCCTCTTTTCTTGTCCAAAACTAATCCTCTGACCATGTAGCTCCAATTAAAGCCCCATTGCAACATCTTTGAAAAAACATAGGGAATTAATTATCACAGTAATTATCAATATACTAACACACCATTCAAATTACAAAATCATCCAATGATGAACTATAACACACTAAATGTATGTAAATATAATAGTGGAGAGGAAAGCTGCCGAAGTAGCAAATAAAGAAAGGCATGATGCACACAAATCACATGGTTCATGGTAGGACTACTCTTACTGACATAGCATACACTAACCTCTCGAGGATACCCCAAATCCTCGACCAGATTCTTTATGGTTCCTTCATATGCAAGAGTTTCGAACGTCTCCGCTTTGTACTGTGCTAAAGTATAATCCATGTCAAACCCAACAGCAACTATATTTTTCATGTTGAGAGATCTATTGCAAAATATCTGTTGTCCCTTGCCAATTTTGCTTCCTCGTGGAGATGCCCATATGGAAGAACTCTGATCATCATCAGCCGCATTTTCTCTTCCAACTGGTTTTTTCTGGTCCTTCAAGCCCACACCAGCCATAGCAAAACCTGAATGCATTGGCAAGTGTTATAATTAGAAATATTTTTTAGGATAGTATTGCCATAAATACAAATATGCAGCAGACCCCCCCCCCCCCCCCATCCAGACCTACCAAACAAGGTAATTGCAATGAGATTCACTAATTACCTAAAGAATAACACTTCACAAGCGATGACAAGCATTCAACACGCTTTTACCGTAATGTGTAAATGATAATTATCATTCCATTTATGTGAAAGTTCACAGTAGCTAAACATTGCATGCCTTTTGCTGTTTTGCATCCACATCACTCAAGACATTCAACAAAATTTTGCTACAGACACCAGACTTCTACAACCACAGCAACCTTAACTCTCTATATGTATTGTCAGTAGATAGTGGACAAGACCTCAAGCAACTAAAAACATAACTAATGCATAAGGATATTTAAAAAACCAGGTGATAACCAAAACAAATGGTAAAGTTTACATCAAGTGACTCTTTGCCAAGGTAAAAGATACAAGGGCCAGGTTATGTTTTGACTTGATAGCACACTCCATGATATGCTCCAAGGGAACACCTATATTTTGTCAGAATTATTTTCACCTAATAATCTCATGCACTAGGAGGACCTAGGAAATGCTCAGCAATAAGTCAATAAACCAACTATTCACTTTAAGAAGCACACGTTAAGCCAGAACTTTAGAACGAAAACACAAAAGTAGTTAGAAACAAGCAAAATAATAGAAATGACATTACAGAGAAGAATAATTCAGTTTGCCATATACAGCCAGCTCAAGCAAGAAGAAGAAGAACTGCTTCAAACTATATACATGCATCAAACGAGAGAAGAGAGAGTGAGAGTGATGCAGATCATGATTATTAGTTGTTCAAAAGATAATTCAATATTGAAACCTTCTTTAGAATAATAAAGTAAAAACTGTGCGGTAGAAATTTGTGCAAGATTTGTGCAGAGGAGAGAAAAATAAAAAGAGCCACAAATTGATTGATTAAAAGGGAAAATGTAAAAGTTTTTGGGACAACCAAAAAAGGAAAGGAGTATCAAATAGTTCCTGAACAGAGAGCGAAGGTTTGAGACAATTTGAAATCGGTGAGAAACACTAAAGTGAAAGTCAAATCAATTTCAAATGCAGATTCAAGTACAGACGTTCATTAGATAACACACTAATAATTTCATTTCAACCTTGAAATTGCTCAAAGATAAACAACCTATCAAGATAACAGAAATAACATTACAGAGAATCGAAGTAGCACTCAATTTGTCGCATGTATCCGACACAAGCAAGAAGACTAGGAATCAAGTCACAAGGAAACACAAGCGCAATCCACCCGCAACAGCAGAGCAAGACAAATCACGAAACAGAAGAATCATACTCTCCATTCATTCACGTACGGAAACTAACGCGCAGAACAACACACCTGGAGAACGAAGCGGCCTGCCTTTGTCGGCGAAATTGCAGCGGGAGTAGAAACGGAAGTTTCGAGAAAGAGGAGAGCTGGAGTAGAGAGGAGGGGAGAAGATGGAAAGGCAAAACGAAAATGAACGCTTGGGAACTCGCATTTCGTCGCTTATATACAGGCAGGTGTTGATTTTTAGTAAAACTGCTCAGCATGGCCAGTCTGTTTACGGTTACAAGGAAAGAGAAGCTCGAACCGGCTTTTGAGCGAATAATCCGTGAAAACGCCAAATGCAGTTAGATTGTCCGTATTTATAAGGAGACGATTCCGCTGGTGTGGCAGGAAAATGGTAGATGCGAATCTGACAAGAAGGTTGAAGGAAGCTTAAGAAAAGAATGGATTGAATTTCCGATTAATGCCACATTTTCTATCAGGAAAATTTAAAGCATATTTGGCATTATCTCCACTTTTACTTTTCCTATATCATCGCCGGGTCAGTACCTTGTACAACTCAGCATATGTAATAAATCCCAGTAGCTACCGGTACGAATCATAAATAATACCACTGAGTTCCAAACAAATCGCAACTTTGACTATAATTATATTTATTTACGTATTAGTAAACATTAAAAAAATTTAATATATTGGAAATTTACATTAATACAAATTTATTAATATTTTATACATAATATTTTTTAATATATATTATTAGAAAATCGTAGTCAAAGTAAAGTGTTTGAATAGTGCAGAAATTCTAATGCTGCAACTTTTATAGAACGGAGGAAGTACTACGTAGGAAAAATCTAAAGCTACCCCATTTTATATATTTTGGTCCAAAAGGTGGAATCTCCGACCCTTGGAGTCTCCATCTCGACCCGACAGGATGTTGGGGGAGTTAATCAAGGTGACTCAGTCAGCAAAGCGGCGGTAGGTTTTATACACGTACGCACTAGAGGTCCAGCCCTATTTCAGGTTATGTAACCTCCACACGTTCGCTGCGGGTTTCGAACCTTGGTCACTTGGTTCAATTTTCCCACCACTCGACCAACTGAGATACCCGTGCGGGTACCCCATTTTTGTGATTCACAAAAGCAATGAGTTAAAGTAGAGCAAATATTTTGTTGGGTTGAGATTTTGTGAGCCACTCAATGAGTGAGGTACAAACGGGGTATCCAAAATGGGGTATCTCTAGCATTTCTCTAAATAATACTGAGTCTATTTAAATATGTAGTACTCCCTCCTCCGGCTAATATTGTCCAATTTTATCTTTTTGGAAATCTCATATCATTAAAATTGTCTATTTTCAATTGTGATAAAGTTTGTGTGACTCTAAATCATTTTTACTTTATTTTTACTTTATTCATTAATATCAATCATATAAACTCACGTAAATCCACTTTTCTTAATTATCTTTCACCCCTTCCGTCCCAATGTTTATTTCATTATTACTCCATAACTTTGTCTAAGTTTGCCATTTTTATTTTTAATTAAACTCCGTATGTCATTTGCATATAATTGATGTCAAAAAAATATCAACCCTTGTTTACACTAGAGTTGAACTAGTTTAGATAATTAGATGACGGTTAAACTCCATTTACACTAGAATCAAATTATATTTAAATTTTAACAGAATGTAATTTAACCCTAATTAAAACAAATTTCAATTACACTTGTACAAAACTTTATTTACATTTCAACTAAACTCCATTGACATTATAAAACGAAAATTTCATCCTCATCACAATCACATTGTTGTTGTTGTTACTGCTGTTGTTTATTGAGTGTACTAGCGATTACTCGCGCAACTCAAGAGTATTTGCCCAATATTAAAATAATTGTTAGATGTTGTCTTTTGTAAAAAGGTGTTATATGCAAAATTGTTAGGAGATTTTTGTAAACAGTTGATGAAATTTTACATATCATATGCCACATATATTTTAAAAATTGTCCGAATAATTTTATTCCATGTCAACCGATTATAGTGTGGAAAATGTGATTATGTGATTCATCCTTAATCAACATTTCAGAAATACATTAAGAATATTGATGTAAATATCATCGAAATGCATATAGTTGTGCACAAACCAGTTTTTTTAGCAATAAATATTTCACATTCCTGACAAAGTTCTAGTCATATGTGTTTGAAGTAATAAAAGATTAGAGTTTTTGCCACTTTTAGTTCCCCGAGTATTGTGTTAGTGACACTTTTGGTACACGACTTTAGATTTTTCCATTTTTAGTCCTCAACTATTGTGTGAGAGACACTTTTAGTCCTCTACTTTAAAGTTTTCCACATTTAGTCCTTTGAGTATTATCAAATTGATACTATTAGTCTTTCTACTATGATTTTGACACAATAAGTGGAGGACTAAAAATGTCTCTATTGCAATAGTTGAAGGACTAAAAGTGTCACTTTTACAAAAGTCGAAGGACTAAATATGGAAATTTTCAAAGACGGATACCAAAAGTGTCTCTCGCACTATAGTCGAGGACTAAAAATGGAAAAATTATAAGTCAAGTACCAAAAGTGTCACTGACACAATAGTCGGAGACTAAAAGTGGCAAAAATTCTAAAAGATTACATCTAAGTCACGCGTATTTAGCTATGTAGCATTAGAGGTGGGCATGATTGGTTAACCGCACTTTGGTTAACCAATTTTCGGTTAACCGTGATGTTGGTTAATATATTGTTAATGTCATTATCTGTACCGTAACATTGGTTAACCGATACTCGGTTAACCAAAATATCGGTTAACCACTAATTAGTTAACCAAAAACCATGAAAAGGAAAAGAATAAAGTCATCAAACTTTTCCGTATTAAACATTTGATTTGTTAAAAAATACATAAGCTATTCAAGATTAAATTAGAAATTTTATATAGCAGAAACTTTTCCAAAAAAAACTCCCCGGCTCCGAAACTTTAGTTAGCCCGTATACACCGTATTATCTTTCCATGTGTACTACTACTTTTCCATATTATATGTTCCTATATCTATGTATTTATACGGTTATTAGGTTAATTATATTATATATATACGTATAACACTAAAGAAAATGTATACATTTCAATAGCTTATGTACGGAGTAATTGATTGTAAAGTGTGTATATTATTCCACTATGCATGCCTGAACGTGAATATACATACACCAAAATTCCAAAAATGATACAAAGTGTTCACTTTCCCCGTCCCCATACCTTTGTCGAAATTTATTGTCCGTATGTAGTGTTTGCGTATGATCCTACGGTTACTGGTTAACCGGTGAGATAATTTCCAAAACCGTAACCGTACCGCTAACCATTTTTCCCTCCCGGTTGGTTAACCGTACCGTGAGTTTTAAAAATTCCGGTACGGTTAACCGAAAAAGACACCGATTTTCCGATTTTTCGATACGGTTAAACGGTTACGATTTTTTGTGCCCACCCCTATGTAGCATCGACCTTTGATAGAAAATTTGTGTATGTTGGTTCGCATGTAAAACATTTCTTATATTAAACATATAATCCTTAATTGTAACAATATATTTTTTCCAAATAATGAATTTTGAGTACAAGAAAAAACAAGAAAGTACAATAACTGTGAAACCGTAAAAGATTTTGGACAGGGGGTATGAACTCAAAAGTGAATGAGAATTACATCGTTACTCCTCAATGGCAGCATATAGACGTTGGGCATTTATGTACATGGAGCAAATTAAAGTAGGAACGTACCGGAAGAACAAAAATTAACGTTATCTTTAGAAGATAGATTTTCGGACGGCATTCGTGAGTGCAGGTCGCCCGCACACGCAAGTCGCGATTTTTGTTCTTCGATTTCGGGATTTGATTCGCACCCCCCCCCCTACGCGCGTGAGAGAGCTTTCCCTTTAGGAATCTTAAGTCCTTAGGGGGGGGGTTCCCTTTATAAAGGGTTCAAATTCCCTTGTGATTTTCAGTGTGGGAAAGAACCCACACTAAAACCCACATTTTCCTAGTTTTCTCCATTCCAACGGGTAAACTTCGAAAAACAATTTCTCATTCACCCGTTATCCGTTTCGAGTGTACCATATATCGAATTGTCCCGATATAATTGGACAATCCGAAACCACTTTGACCCGACCCAAATCGGAAGTGAACCCCACTCAAATAATTGTCCCAAAATGACCATTTAATACACTTTTAACACACTTTTTCCAACAACATATCCAACTTTTATCAGATTTAATTTTTCTTGATCAGGCTTTGTAGCGATTTTAATGTAATTTCTGAATATGTAAATTTTATTTACCAAAAATAATTCTACTAATGACATGGATCAGTTAACTTTATGATCAGTCAAACGTCGTAAACCGTGTGGAAACATTTAAATGAGACGGGGGGAGTAACAAGTTCACATTTAAAAAGGGGGAAAGAAGAATAATAGAAGAAATAAAATAAAATGAAGAGGAGCAGCAAAAAAAATGGAATAAGTATAGCTACATCATGTTAGATGAGATCGATAGATGGGATATATAGAAAACTAAAATTGTTCTTTTGTCATTTAATGAAATAGACAATGCGGGATCCCTTAATTTTATGTGCTATCGATCAGAATTGTATTTAATGAAGTAGATGTGTGAGGCTTAAGATTGTGTTAACGGAAGTCACAAACTTACAGGACCGTAAGGGTAAAGCAGCCAATGGAAAAAATAGGGTCCCACCTTCATATGTACAATATCATACTCCGTATGTACTAAGTGTGTAGTCATCAACCGCACATTACCCCAAATTATATCGTAGGATCATCCCACGGTGAGCATCGTGCTCCAAGCCCAAAAACGGTGTCGTTTAGTTAAAAAAAGGAACAGATTTGTCTTTCCCTACAGAGACGGAGCTCTGCACGCAGCCGGTGAGCACGAAATAAAATCCGGATCTATGGAGTGCACTCCCGTTGCCGGCGAGTCGCAGAATCCGAAGCCACCGAGCTACGTCGCCGCCACGTCACTGGAAATCAACACCGTCGAAGATCACTCCTCGAACTCCTCGCTCTAAAAGCATCAATATCTTCATTGTTACCATTCACGATCAATTTAGTCACATTGTATACACTGTGAGCATAAAAAGGACCTGCAAACATCCAAAATATAAGTATACATGAAATTCCACAAACTGAAAGTAAAAATTGATAAATTTAAAACTTGATGCGAACCTTCATATTTCTTAGAAGACACATTTGAAGGATCAAGATTATCTCATCAAATTGTTTCTCATGCTCCGAATAATAATCAATCAAATCTCCCCACAGTGTAGCAGTAATACTATTGTGACTGCAAGAAAACATCAAATTTAGGATTATCTGAATCCACAGTTTTTACTAAACAACGTATATTAACACCAACCCTAAAAATATAACAAAAAACTTACATCTCATCATACAATGGAATTTCCATCAACCTCCTCCCACCTTTGTACTTGATAACTCCTT